ATTATTAGTAGGTTATTATTAGCAACTTTGTGTAAAGTAGTAGTACTTTGGCAACAGAAGAATTTTTCAGATTAGTTCTAGTAGAAATCATGACCATAAGGGGACTGGACACAAGACTAGAAGTTTTGACTTAAGGTTTCAAAGATCTGGAGTCTTGGATACCACCCAGGTAGATAATTATACAGGAGGGAAATGAAGGAAAGACCCTTGAGGAGCAAGAGGGTAGAGGACACAGAAGAGGAAAGAGAAGAGTGGAAGATCAATTTTTATTAATTGGCCAAGGGATGAGAAACACTTTTAATCCCCTTCCATTTCTACCTCACTTCTCTCCTCCTCCTCCTCCTCCTCCTCCTCCTCCTCCTCAACCTTCTTCCCTTCCATCAGCAGTTAAAGCTACTATCATCCATTGTCCTCTAACTGTATTCAGATGGTGGTGGGTTGAGATCCCATGCTCCCAAACCGAATTCTTTTAGGACAAAGACCTTGTCTTCTCCAACTGTCTCCCCTGCAACACAGAGGTGTAAACATTCATTCATTCATTAAGCCTTTATGAAGTGCCTGCTATGTGCCAGGTACTGTGCTAGATACTACAGATAAAAAGACAAAAATTAGTCTCTGCTCTCAAGAAGCTTACATTCTATTGGGGAAGGGTCACAGCATGGAAAAATAAATAAAAAATATATACAAAGTATTTTCTAGTGAGCTGAAGTGAACTAGAACCTGCAGAACAGGATTACTCAATAAAGACTTGCTGACTGATATGATGACTTACAGGAATGTTCCTCCTACCTAATCCAACAAGTTAAGGTCTATTATCAGAAAAGTCACACACACACACCTACTACATGTCATTACTATTTCAATATCATTGCCTGACCCTGAACTACTATCAATGGACCCTAGGACGCTTATTTAAAAAAATAATTTTGGTCAAATTATTATCATTTTTAAAAATACACAAGCCTCCAAATTAGAGAAACTTTGAAGTTCCACATTGTCTCAGTTTTTTCTATCTGTGCCAGGAAAATACAAGCAGCATTTTCCAGACACAAATAAAAACCAGAAAGGAGGCTTTCCCTTCTACAAAATTCTGTTCTAATTCCTTATCATGGCACGCTAATGGCCCTGGATTGTCAAAAGCTATTTCAGGAAAGTGACTCTGGCAGCATCAACTATGCTGGGAAATATTTGAGAACTGTCCCCAAAGCAGTCTGATATCTGAGGATAAATATACCAAGTACAGACAGAGTTATCACCAATAGCTCGGGCAGTAGGTGACAAAGTCTTTGGCCATGGGAACTCATGATATCAAGAAAAATCCAAAATGGTCCTTAGTCTTATTTGGATCCCTTCCATAGGGATGAAGGTAGAAAATGGGGGCTTACTGAATGAATGAATATTCACACCTCTGTGTTGTGGGGGAGACAATGGGAGAAGGCAAGGTCTTTGTCCTAAAAGAATTCTGTTTGGGAGCATAGGATCTCCCACCACCTGAATACAGTTAGAAGATAATGGATGATTTTCTTAAAAGAAATGAAATTAAAAGATAAAAGGAAGCTCTACTCAATTTCTTGAGGAGGCAAACAAAAAATTTGGCAGAGCTGGTTTTATTATGAAACCAAAGGCTTCAACAAACATTTCATGGGATACTTGGTCATCTCATCTTATCATGCTCAATATGCACATAAGTATGTCATTAATTGACATCTGTTGAAAAGCATAAAAGAGCAAAATTCCATAAGAAGGACTTGAGGAAAATTCTCTAAATCAAGTTAACATTTACTTTGATGCTTGGTGACTTTAATGGCCACAGGAGAAGATGGAGAAAAAAGAATGTCAGAAATTATTACTTAGGTTTTCAGAAATGAAAGAGATTTAGGATTTTTTAGATTTTTAGGATTTTAGGCTACTTTGAAAACACAAGTCTATATATCATAAATACTTTAAGAGCATAAGGAGGCCCTGGACATGACAAACAATAAACAATAAAATACATACAAAAAAAAATCAAATAATCTGTGTCTAAATAGACAGGAAAATGACTACTCTCTGAGAGTCACAGCAGAATCAGCTGTCATTGTGTTTTCAGACCACTGATCAGTTAAAGGAACAGTCAAAATCAGCATTAAATTAGGAGAAAGGAGAAAGATGAGAAGACAGCCTTGAGAACATATTGTCTGACCTCTACAAATAAGGTAGGGCCAAAAAAGGGAAATGAAGAAAAACAAAGATTTTGACTCTAATTATCACCATTTCCTACAAAAGCTTAGCCATTGTAAAGTAGTTGCCACACTGCAGAGGCCAAAGGTACCCAGAAACTGCCTCAATCAACAAATATATGATACCTTTGCCAAATAGTATATAGAAGCCAAGGGTAACAAGAAATTAGAATACAAACTTATTCATAAAACAAGAAGAATAATGGAAAATAACTTGCAGTTATCACCTCATAAAAGAGTGAAAAGTACTAGAAGCAAAATCAAGTCTTCAAAAGCTTGGCATGAGCCTCAACTGAACCACATCATCCTGAGAGCATTTAGAGGCAGAACTGGCTGTGCGGCAATGAACAGAAAATGGAACAAAACTTCCAATGTCTCCATAATGATCTATTTTCATCATCATTGGTGACTCCATTTGTATCCTAACTCCTCAGTCCTTGACTACACAAAGAAGTTGAAATGGCATTTAAGACATTCTAGAGGAAACACAATCTTGGAAGCCTCAAAGGACCATTGGTAAGATATTTCAGAGACAGGAAGAAAATCAAAATAATAGAAAAATTCATAGAACCTTTGGCTACCCAAAAAAGGCTACCAAAAGAATCCTGATAACTACCAACTCATATGGTTACATTCTCACCTTTATAAAAATCACTATGAAAATAATCTATAAACACACTGAGGATAACCTTTATGAAAATATGAGAAAAGAATCAGCAGATGTTCCAAAGTAGTAATATACCACAAAACAGCTTTACGGCCACCCAATTCTCTGAGAGGCAAACAGAAAACAAGATATCCTGCTATCTTTAGTGTTTGTTGACTTACACACAACTATGCACATGAGCATGCATCTGCATGCACACACACACACACACACACACACACACACACACACACACACACACAGCCTTAAAGGCCCTTATCTAACAAGGAGGCTCTCAAGTGTATGTTATCACATATCATATAAAAGTCCTTGGCAAATGCCAACCATGGAGCTAACTCTGTTTGATGGCCCCCTGCTTACAAATATTGAATGAAGTATAAAAAAAAAGATGAGTGATTGTCAAAGGTGTCCATCCTATCATGGAGGATGGCCTACACAAGCTTCAAATGGAAGAGGAGACTATTCCTATAAATGGCAAGGTCCTTCAAATGCAACTGTTTGCAGATAATATTGGGTTGATTGTCATCCAGTCCCAGAACATTACAAGAACCCCTCAAGGGGAATCGTAATTACTCAAAAGACATAGACTTCATCCACATAGAAGAATTAAACAGATGAAAAAAATTGTCTATTATCTAAACAATTCCAGTTAGTCCATCAGTGTCTACATCTGAGACAAATACTGCAGAAGGACAAAAATGTTGGGTCCAGAACTGAATAGGAGGGGGAAAGTAGGCTAGATGACATATGGGAAAGTGTGGTACTTTTAACAATCACAAGCTGCTCCTTAGTGCAAGAACTCATCTTTTAAATACAAATATTCTCTTGGCCATCAAGCTGCAAAGATTACAAAGCTCAGAATACCACAATCTCTGAAGAGCTAAAGTCTCAGGTGATATAAAAGACAATGAAGAGATGCATTTTGCAGACAAATACTCAGCATATTTCTAAAAGCGATCTTACATGTAACAAATGCTTAATAAACATATGAGTTGACCTTATATGCAAAAAGTGCCATAAAGGATATCTTCCAGGAAATGTATGATTATAAGAAAGAGATAGGTCAGTCATGTGGTGAGAGTGAGGGATAATGGATGGCCCAAAGACTACTCTGGTACTCTTGGAATGTACAAAGATCTAGAGGAAGACGTCTAGCATAGTAGATAAGAATCATACATTTGAGAAAGGCCTAGAAACTCAATCCCTCTTAATTACCCACTTCCTTATATATCTATGAACTCCCATAATACACCCTGAAAACACCTCTTACACTAGCTTCTAAACAGGAATCCCTTACCACTAGTCCTCGGTACACCTTACTGGGCAAAGGTCCCAAACTACTGCCGGGCGTAGTCAGGTACTTCTGCGTGCCTTATACATAGTAGCCACTCCAGAAACCTGCTGGATTAAACTTAATCTTGTTAATAGACCTATGGAAACTTCGTACCAGAACTCCTAGATGTCTGTGTAATAGGAGAAAGGTGGCTGATTGCTCAAAGAGAAAGTTAAGGAGGGTGAAAGGGAAGGAAGCTCTCACTCTAGGAAGGTTGCTTATTTTGAAGGAAAGAACCTGAGGTCTCTGCCTGAAAGTTTTGTTTGGTAACTTACAAGTTATTTCTAAAGGGTGATCTGTTTAAAATGGGTTCCTGCAATGGGCTATCCTAGAGGAAAGGGCAACCCTGATGAACATCCTGGGATGAACCTGGTCATTCATTCATCTCCATCTCAACTGGACTCTGGCTCTCTATGACTCTTTAGGGCCTTTACAAGAGCCCATGAGAGAACCTACAACGTCTGCCTTTTCTAAACTCAGACCCCAAACAGTAGCTGACAGCATAAAATAGGGGGAAGACAAAAAATTCACCAACTCCACATTGGCCTCATTAATCCAAAGTAAATAGGTATGGTGTCTCAACACCCCAGACACTGAAGGAAAGGACTGCTCCAGTTGTAGAGGGCTCCAGGCCTCCAAACCATCTCTTACCCTGATTGGGAAACCAATGAGGATATGGAGAAGAAAGTTAAGAGAGAATACACAGCAAATAGCAAGAGAACTTAATGCCTGGGAACCTATTCCAAACAGGCCTGGCCAAAGAGACTCCATTCCTCCTTACCTTCAGCCTATTCAAGTATCTTTGTGTGTGCACCACCCGCAGGTCTTCATCAGTGGCTTCTCTGGCCTCCACCATCATGACATCAGCAAGGAAATTTTCTTCTGTAACCAAGATAAACCACACCCTTCACATTTCTTCCAAGAGTCAATCCCAGGGGAAAATCAGACCTTGCCTTGCCAGCTTAAAGCCTCACTGGTTATACCCTTGAGACCTTCAGAATCTGCCCCTAGTTCAAAATAGCTATTATTATACACACATGAATTGAAGTCCAAAGTCTAGGTCCATCGGCTGTTGATTCAATTCAATTCAACATATTTATTAAACACCTACTACAAATGCTGGGTTAGGCACTGGGGATAGAATACAAAAATAAATAGTCCCTTACCCTTGAGAAGTTTACCTTCTACTGGAGGATGGTCTTACACTCAGTAAAAATAAGACACTTTCACTCTCAGTGCCAGGCAGGAGGGACAGGGGAGGTGATATAATACAGTGCCACAAATATTAAGTACCTACTGTGCGCAGAGCACTGTGTTGGGGGAAATACAAAATTTCTAGCTAAAGAATTTCAAAACACAGTGCTGTACAGAGTCTAAAGGGGAAAGTTCCCAACAATAAGAAAAGGATCAGAGAAGATTATTGAGGATATAGCATTTGAGTTAGGTCTAAATGGGTGGTTAGAAAGAAGAAGGATATTCCAAGCAACAGTGCTGGCTATTCAGTCAACCAATAAACATTTATTAAACACTTACCATGTGCCAGGCACTGTGCTATTATTGGGAATAGCAAAATTGGGAATATAACTGGGAATGCAAAAAAAAAATCCAGCTTCTTTACCCTCAAGGAGCTTAATTCCAAAGGGTGAAACAATATGTAAATAAGTAGGTATGTACAAAAATAAGCACGCAGAATAGATGGAAGACGGAGGTGACAGTGAACTGTACAAATCTGTAAACTAGCACAATAGATATTTAATAAATGTTATTGCAAAATTTGTTATTCAGTTGTTTTCTAACTCTTTTGTGACCTCATTTGGGGTTTTCTTGGCAAAGATACTAGAGTGGTTTGACATTTTCTTCTCCAGCTCATTTTACAAATGAGAGACTGAAGCAAACAGAATTAAGTGACTTGTCCAGGGTCACACAGGTCACACAGCTAGTAAGTGTCTGAGGGTGGATTTGAACTCGCAAAGAGGAGTCTTCCTGACTCCAAGCCCAGCATTCTATTCACTGCCTAACTGCCTTGCTGTGCAAAACCATACTCCAAATATGGGGGGAATTTTTTTTTAATATGGGAAAGACAAATGGAAAAGAAAGGTAAAGATCCCTGAAAACCAGCTTCACCAGCATTTCCCATAGTCTCGCCACAGGATTACTTTGAACATGTCTGTTATTGAGGTCGGGGAGAAAGTCCTGCTTTTACCTTTCAAAAAATTGATGACTTTCCCCCATTTCCCAGCATCAAATGGATGGAGCTTCTCCAAGCCCAAGAACGTGATGTTGTATTTTGGAGAATAGATAATGGGCCAGCAGGTCTTTGACACTTCTTCATACAGGTGAGTGTTGTGAGGCCTTGAGGCACAGACAGAAAGAAAAATGGAAAGAATACCAACTCAGAACATACAGAATCATGGAATCTTTTTTTTTGTAATAGCAAGATTTTTTTCAAAATTGTATTTAATATTTTATTTTTCCCCAATTACATATAAAAACAATTTTTAACATTCATTTTTTAAAAAAAAATTTGAGTTCCAAATTCCCTTCCAACTTCCCTCCACTCCCTCCTCATCGAGAAGGCATGCAATTTGATATATGTTATACATGTGCAGTTACATAAAACATAGTTCCATATAAATCATATTGTGAAAGAAAACAGACCTTCCCCCCCCCAAAAAAAAACCAAGAAAAATAAAGAACAATTTTAAAAGTACGCTTCAATATGCATTCAGACTCAACCAATTCTTTCTCTGGAGACAGCATTTTTCATCCTAAATCCTTTGGAATCTATTTACGTCTTGCTGAGAATAGTTGTCATTCACAGCTGGTCATCATGCAATATTGCTGTTACTGTGTGCCATGTTCTCCTGGATCTGCTCATTTTACTTTGCATCAGATCATGCATGTCTTTCCAGGTTTTTCTGAGAGCATCCTGCTGGTCATTTCTTAGAATAAAATTGTAGAATCATGGAATTTTGAAACTGGGGTTAGGGGAAGGGGCACTTCAGAAATCACTGGGTTCAAAGCTCCCCAAACTCTTCCCATCTCTAGGAGGCAGCCATACCAAGTGCTTCACCAGTCCCTGGCAAAGGCATATGTCAGAACTGGAATCCTCCAAAAAAGAGCCAAAATTTCTAAGTTCCATATGACTACTGCCTTTGAAGTCAAGAGGACCAAGGTTCATATCTAGCCTCAGCCACTTACTAACCTGTGTGACCTTGGGCAAGTCACTTGACCTCTCTAAGCCTCAGTTTCCTCATGTGTAAAATGAGGGGGTTGGACTTAATGGCTTTTTGAGGTCCCTTCCCACATAAAATCTATAATCCTATGATCCTCACAACTGGAAGGTGCCACAAAAATTATTATTCCCATTTCACATTTGAGGATATTGAGACTGAACAAAGTGAAGAGATTTCTCCACAGTCCTTCAGCTGGTATATGTCTGAGGCAGAATTGGAACCAAGATCTTTCTGATTTGATAATCAACACTGTGAGTGATGCCAGAGCTTATGTTGTCCTGGTATAATGTACTAAAACTCAGTCGCCACTAGGCCACTTTGAGATGTCAGAGCAGGGTTTTGTTTAAAGTCATCATAAATTGTGACAATGCCACTGCCCCCTCCCCCTTATTTATCTCACAAAGTTGCTATGAAGAAGATACAATAGGGGAAGAAGCACTTGGGAAAATATGATACTTAAAAAAATTAAAACTACATAAATGAAGAGACTGGAGCAGTTTATCATACCTTTTCTATGACCACATATGGTCCCATGCATACAGAGCTATGTTTGACCCACCTGCCCAGGCTACTTCAGCGTTCTAACACAAACTAAAGACCAGGTCATTATCAATATCTACATATGAGCTACCAAATGGTTAATGGTGGAAGAGACCTTCAAGATCATCTGGTTCAAGCCTCTTTTCTCACCAAAGAGAAAAGTGAAGCCCAGAAGAAGAAAGTGATTTCCCAGGGTCAAGCAGTAAATTCATGACAGAGCCAGAAATAGAGCCCAGCCTCCAGACTCCCCAGTGCTATCTATGTTCTTCCCATGACACCACACTGTGATTTTTAAGACTAAATACTTAAACATATCAGAAAGCTTCAGTGTATTCTTCAGGAATGGAGAAGAGTCAAGAATAGAGAGGTCTAAAGAGGAGGAGCAGAATGGCTTTGCAGTAAAAGACATGGATTTGGAGGAAAACTACATTTCAACCTCTGGCTCCAGCTCTTCACTACATGTGACCTTGAGGAAGTTACCTGCCTCTTTGAGTTTATTTCCTCTCCTGTAAAATAAGGGGGAATTCTGCTAGGTTACCTAAGCTCTCTTCTAGATCTAAAGCTACCAGACTCATAAGCCAGAGACCCAGGCTCCTTGAGAGCCTCGTATCTCTCTCTGGCCACAGCTGCCATATGTTCGCCTTTATCCCGGGCCCAGGATCCCTATGGACCACGGCATTTGCTTTTCCCTCTCCTGCTGCATCTCTGGGTCCAGTACACTGGCTGTCCTTTTACAAAGGTCCTGTGAATCCCAGTGCCAACCACTGGCAAGGGCCACCAGCCCAACCCCCCCTCCCTTGCCCTTTTTGTCTTTGTTCCCGTTGACCAGAGAAGGCGGTGGACTGGGGCTACATTCCCAGAGTCCCTTACTGCTTTTATCAGGCTTTTCCTCTCAGAGGAGCAGTTGGGGGTGGTTGGGAGCAGAGAGGAGGACTCAGGGCCACTTAACTCCCCAGAGAGCCTCGATCCTAGGGGAAAAAAATCACAGCCCTCGGGGAGGCGACATGTCTCCGCGGAGGGCAGCCCATAAGATGCAGAGGCTGCAACCCCGAAGTCCACACCCAGGGAACAGGGCTCGTCACCTAGGCCTGCCACTTCTTGCTGACCCCCGCCCCTGGACCGGCTGTCTGTCCACGTGGTGGCCCCCACCCTTCCCACGCGCGGAGGAGGAGGCGGGGGCATCCAGTTTCCACTTTCCGAGGGGAGCTCGTGGCAGCCACGACTGCGATCCGGGGTGGACGGGCCCCGAAGCGCCCAGGTACTTGGTCAAGCTGCCAGGCGAAGGGACGAAAAGCCTCCCCGTTCCCCCGAACCCTCGGGTCGCTCTCCCTGGACACAGTACCCCAGCCCAGCCCCTGCCCGCACGCTACTCACATCCCCCCGCCGGGCCTGCGGCAGGCCCGCCACCTGCAGTCACCGCCCGGACTTTGTACTGGGCCAAGCCGAGGCCAGCGGGGCCAGCGCGGGCGGGGGCAGCATGGGGGACACGCCCCCTTACGTCACCGGGGCCAGGGCTTGGGAGACATGCCCGGCCCTCCGCAAGGCTGCATCACAGAAGGGTGAAAGCCCAAGTCACGCCCAGTGCTGAGATAAGGCCCCACCTACCCCAAATCCCCCACCCTTTCTCAATCTCTGGAGGAGGGGCTAAAATGAGGCCCCGCCCCCCGGTGAAATCCACAGTCTGAAGGTTTCCTTGTGGAATTAAAGACACTCGGGAATGGGCCAGCTGCAGATGATGGCCCTCCTTCCAATGCATGCTTCTTCTCGCTCCAGAGAAGCGTCAGCGGCTAAAGCTCTGGAAACCTGTCTGTAAAAATGGATCAAAGGATTTGGAGCTGGAAGTGAATTAAGTGAACATTTACCCCTCGACCTACAGATGAAGAAACTGAGACCGGGAAAAGTGGTAGGATGAGAGCAGCGGTCACACAGCTAGCAGAGCAGGGATTCAAATCCGGTTTTTCTACTTCAAATCTAGTACACACTCTGCTATCTAAAACTTGAGTCACAGAACGTTAGTGCTAAAACAGACCACAGAGGTGACCTAATCTAGATTCCTGTTTTTACGTATTTTTTAAGTGAAAATTTTTATATTCTATTTTTTCCAATTACGTGTAATTACAATTTTTAACATTCATGGTTAAAATTTTGAATTCCAAATTCTCTCCCTCCTTCCCTCCTCTCCCTCCTTGAGAAGGCAAGCAATTTGATGTTCATTATACATTTGCATTCAGGCAAAGCATACTGCCATATTAGCCATGTTTTGAAAGAAGACACAGACAAAACACAAACACACACAAGAAAGAGTAAAAAATAAATATGCTTCATAGATCCCTCTTTTTAAAAGATAAAGGAACTCAAGATCAGTATAAGGGGAAGTGAATTGACTTGTCTCCAGTCATCCAGTGAACTTGTAACAGATGCAGACAGGGATAGCTTCTACCCAGGTTTTCCAACTCCCGGTTCAATACTTGTTTACAGTGGTCCCCACAGAGTCCTGTGGAAGGGAGAACTCTATGTACCTCCTTACCTCAGAGCTCTTTTCTTCGATGCTTAGCAGAGGTCCTTGAGGTGTAGGAAGAGGGGATAGGGAGGAAAGGGACTGGATTACAGGGCTGCTGATGTTGGGGGAGAGGAGGAGGAAAGGCCAAGCCACTCAGTGTAGGGGTAAGTCTTTACTGATTGTGGGCACTATCTTGAAGAGACTTGTTGGAAGAGAATCGCATACAGGAGAGAGGAGGTGAAATAGAGGAAGAGGGGCAATCATAGGAGTCAATTATATGGGAGGAGAGGGAGAGAGAGGTCAAGTAAGGAAGGAACCATAGAATTTAGTAACTGTAGCTAGAGGAGCAATATTTATAAAGCACTAATTAGTTCCAAGCCTTAACCCCCTGAATTTTTGCTTTACCTCCATCTTAGTGGTAGCAAGACTAGGGAGGAAATAAGGAAGGAAATGAGCATTTATACAGCACCTACTATGTGCCTGGCACTGTGTTAAGCATTTACAAATATTATCTCATTTGATCCTCACAACCACCCTGGGAGGTAGATGCTATTATTATCCCCATTTTACATCAAAGAAAACTGAGCAGTCAGAGGCTAAGTGGCTTGCCCAAGGTCATACCATGAATATCTGAGGTCAGTTTTGAACTCAGCTCTTCCTGACTCTAGTCCCAGGGTTCTATCCATTGCACCACCTAGCAATCTCTAGTAGAGTATAGTAGAATGGAAAAACCACTGGATTTGGGATCTAAGAACCTGGATTTGAATCATGATTCTACCACTTACCACCTGTGTGACTTTGGGCAACTTATTTTACCTCTCCAGGACTCAGTTCCTCATCTGTAAAAAGAGAGGACTGCATTAGACATGCTCTGGGGCTTTTCAGACAAAATGGCCTCTGTGATCCCTTCAAGCTCCAACTCTATGATCTTTCCTATCATTCTCTCATTGACATATGTTTCTTTTACACTGATTTCTCTTAACATTGGCATCTTTTGGCCTTTATAATACTGCATCTTGGCAGATTGTGTCCAATAAGTCATACTTTTACTGGTCTTTCCTCAAAACCAGGAGTCAGGATATATTAAGCATAAAGAATTAAAATAGACATCGATCATATTAGTGGAATTTGTCCTGGGACATGACCCTGGGTCACATGTAGAACAAAATTATTTCCTAGGAAGAGTGCCTTGCAGACAGCCAATTTACAAAAGAAAAGAGGGCTGTTGTCAGCAGGCTGCTCATTTAGGCAGTTATTCAGGGGAATTCCTTAATTTGTTCAACAAGGTTATAGGGACATGAACCTTTAGTTGGGTCTTATGATTACACTTCCCTTAGGGGGCTGTAGATATGCCTATTTTTTAAATTTTTTTGCTGAGGCAATTGGGGTTAAGTGATTTGTACCCAGTGTCACACAGCTAGTAAGCGTCAAGTGTCTGAGGCCAGATTTGAACTCAGGTCCTCCTGACTACAAGGTGGGAGCTCTATCCACTGCACCACCTAGCTGCCCCTTGGATATGTCTATTTAGAGATTAGCAGGTTGTCTATTGGGATGTATTCATGGAGAGGGGATCTCACTGGTGAATGTTGATTTGGTGGAGTGTTGTGGGTAAGAGTCACCCCTTTCTTTGTTCTGGGTCTGTAGGTGGGGATGGGTAGAGGAAAAAGGGGAAAACCTGCATAGGCACTGAGACCTAAAAGCACCTGGGTGTTGTATGTGCTCTGACCCAATAGCGTTGAGAGTTCCTGAATTCTATCATTTTAGATAGAAGGAGGAATGTCCTCGATAATGTCCACTTCCTAGGGAGTTTAGGGACCTAGTTTTCTTAAGCAAGAAGGGGAATTACTAGGCATCGCCATCCTTAAGTCTTCTTCTCTAGCAATCTCAAGTTCAAGAGTTCCAGGATCTAACCTTCTAGATGGAGAAAGAGGAGTTCTTTGGCAGCACCACCCTTTTGCGGAAAATAAGATTACACATGTGGCCCTTGAACCCAAGGACAAGCAACAAGGGACCAGATCCACAACACAGGGAAGCAAAAGACCTAGACTTTGCCTTCCACAATATTATTGTGTGTCAATCAGTCAATAAGCATTTTTAAAGTGCTTTCTCTGTATCACAGTGAGTTATTCAAATGTTTCTGGTCCAATGGGAAAGGTTCCCTCTCCAGCAATCCTAAATTGACTTCCTTCCATGGGAATCCCAGAGCTCAGGGAACTCTCATAATACCATAATTAGTGGAGGCTTGCATACCTCTCAGTGGTGTGAGTGAGATTCACCAGAATCTTTAGGGGTTACTCTTCTAACAATCTTAAATAAATTTCCCTCCCAAGGGGATTATAAACCCTATATAGGGTAGTGCTGTGAACCCAGAGAACTGTATAGGACTATGGGGAAAGTGGAACTGAGTAGAGGGAAGAGAATCTTATCAATTCTTTATGGGCTACTGTGAATCTTCTGGTTTTAGGTTTAGGTTTTTTGTTTGGTGGGGGTTGGCAAGGGTTGCATTTTCTGTAGGGCAAAATAAAGGCTTTATGTAATATATGTGTATATATATATGTATATATATATATATATTTATATATGTATGTCTGTCTGTATGTATATATATACTTTTCATGTGTGTGTGTGTGTGTGTGTGTGTGTGTGTGTGTATACCTTGAGTCCTTGAGTGCTTGTGTGGGAACAGGAGATCCTTCACTGTTACCTGTGGAGGGAGGTCTAAACATGAGAATGTTCTGAGAGTCCCATGCTCCAAGTGTTCCCCAACCTCTTTTCTTCCCTACATCAAAAGCTTAACTGTTTTGTGTCCCATTCCTCCTGCATCCAGTTCTCTGTCAAGGAATTACAATAAAATTAGATCTAGGGATTACTGAATAGTACAATTTTAAAAATCCATTCAACAAACATTTATTGAGTACTTACCACATGCAAAGAATTGTATTAGGACTTGAGTGAAATGCAAAGTTAGATAAGACAAAATCCCTGCCCATGGAGCAGAGTCTAGTAGAGGTGTACAATATCCATAAAAGCCAGAATTCAAAATAATGCAAACAGAAATACAAATTAAGAGGCTAGAATTAAAAAAGAAATATAAATTAAAATGCTAATAATAATAAAAAAATAATACAGAAAGCAATGCAAATGAAAAGGCTAGAATTCAAAATCATACAAAAAGAAATAAAAATTAAAAGGGTAGAAATCAAAATAATGCAAAAGAAATCCAAATTAAAAGATTGGAATACAAAAATAATACAAAAAGAAATATAAATTGAAAGTCTAAAAATCAAAATAACACAAAAAAGAAATACAAATTAAAAGGCTAGAAATCAAAATAACACAAAAAGAAAGATGAGTATAGTACTGTGTAAGGTCCAAGTGGACGGAGAAAGTCATTAACAATTGGGAAGATCAGGGAAATTTCCTTAGAGAGTTTGCATTTAAACTTTAAATGTAGAAGGGCTTTAAAAGATGAATAAAAATTCAATAGGCAGAGAGGCATGTAGATAGTATTATTCCGGGCACGTACAGGAAACATTGCAAGCAAAGGCATCAGCTGAGTTGTCTGGTTTGGCTGAAATATAGGGTGTGTAAGAGTTAGAAGAAGGAAGGAAAGCTCAGATGACGTGCATGAGGCCAGATTGTGGAATGCCTTGAGAGTATGGGTGTTACACCGGGGGTGGTAGTAGGGAGTCACTTAGGAATTTTGAATAGAAGAGTAAAATGACTCTGTGAACTCAGGCAGGCAATTATATTCACAGATTCATAGATGGAAGGGACCTTAGAGATCAGCAAGGTCAACTCTCCATTTTACAGATTTGAAAGCTGAAGCCCAGAGAGACTAAGGCACTTGTAGCTAGGTGGTATAATACATAGAGTGCTGGACCTGGAATCAGGAAGACCTGAGTTCAAATCTGGCCTCAGACACTAAGCTGTGTCATCTTGGGCAAGTCATTTAACATCTCTCTGCCTTATTTTCCTCATTTGTAAAGTAA